TTTTGTTTATTAGATACAGTTAAGATGTGATATTTATTTGGATATCCAAAAGAATTACATTTTAAGTTGACGAGCCAAGCCTCAGTGTTTTATCCCAGCTGTGCGCTGTTTGTGTCTGTTTTGCTGCGTTTTGTGAGCATCTTTACACAAAATACTCTCACAGCGTTTTTCACGCACAAAAAAAAAACAGCTCAGTGGAAATTTGCTTTGTTGTGTCGCTTCTGTTAGAGTAAAAAGTTGTGCAGGTTGAAACTAAGCGCAGGCCGATATGGGGAGTAGCTGTGGCTGGGGCTCAGCTGTGGTGGGCTGCTGCTCACTCTCCCTGCCCGCTGACATATTGTTGCATATCATGCGATCCAAGGCCCGGTACCCGTCTACGGCCTGGTGGTTGGGAAGCTGTGACGAAGAGACTCTTCTTCTAGGATGCGGATCTAAGCTGGTTTATGCTGGTCTAGTACTGGTCTGCTGCTAGTTTAGGTGGTCTACCAGCGTGGTCATTCTGATTTACCAGCATGCCAACAACTAAAATACAACATATCACTGCTGTCGGAAGAAAACTTCCATCTCCAAAATGGTGACTTTACAGGAGAAGGAAAAAACATACTTTACTTTTAATGTAAATCAATGGAACCCGACGTTTTTCCAAGTCATTCTGGGTCGTTTCTTTTGGTCCATTCATGATGAAATTTACACACAATGTAAAGAGCAACAGGAATTTCCAAATTATGACAAAAACTGAAAAACGACAAAAATGGAGATACGAGGTTTTCTTCCGACAGCAGCGATATACTGGTTTTGGTGGTGATCAGCATATTAAAGGGAAATTCTGCAGATCTCTGCTGGTGACATCCCATATAAATAAAACTAATGAGTGGCCACGCCTTATTAACACATGGGAATGAGATCTTAATGCATGGCCACGACTTAGTAAGGGGTGGGAATGAGATAATTAAGTAGTGGCCACGACTTAGTAAGGCGTGGGAACAAGATTACACCTTACTAAGTCGCGGTCGTGCATTATGATCATGTTCCCACGCCTTACTAAGTCGTGGCCACGCATTATTTTTATTTATACAGGATGTCACCAGCGGGGCTCCATAGAATTCCACAAATTTTAAAAAAAAATTCTGAATAATTTAGTCCTTGAGATGTAAACAAAGTCGTTTAGAGGTGTGAAATGGTTCATTGTAGAGAAACATACTGACTCTGACTGCTTTACAGTGGTGGTGATAGGAACCAGGGGTCACAGTGTCAACAACACAAATATGGCCATTTTATTTACTATCCAAAACCACCAGTGAACCAACACGAGTCTTCTGAGTTTTTAGATATAATCAACGATGGTAAAATAATCATAAATCTGAAAAAAGTCTTTCTTTGGGGGGTCTATTTTGCCTTACAAAGCCTTGCATGCCCCCCCTCCACCATGAATGGAATCAAATAAATGGATTCAGATACATTTTAAGCCAAAAATATTACAAAACTATCATAAAACAATGTGTTAGACATCTGGCAGCACATTTATAACCATTTTTAAAGTAGTAACTTTCTGTGAGGGAGCTTTTAGAGGTGGACGTCTGGTTCCTATCACCACCACTGTGAAGCGTATCACACCAAACCACTCTGGATGACTCTGTTTACATCTTAACCGTTTAATTATGCTGAATTTTTGAAAAATCCCCGTTAACTTCCAGGGCTGCTGACCTGCATTACCAGCACCCAGAACACAACATCTGCTGGTCTATGCTGGTTTTTTTAGCAGGTCTGGCCAAAAGACTTGAGAGGTGTGCAAAATACTTTACAAGTGTAATGAAATTCCTTTTTGTGACTCCCTTCAGAGAGAGAGACCCGTCTTTGACGCTGTGTACATGTGTCATACACTCACACTATTCATGTTCTGTGTGCGAGAATATGAAGGGCTGGATCTGCGGCTTGGCTGTTGGTTTTTCCAGTCCCCAAATTACCATAATTTCCTAAAGGCACCGAGTTCACTGCATGTGTATGAAGAGTTTAGCTTGGGTTAGCCTGACTGCCACCACCTTCTGTCCATACCACTTTATATCTGAGTCAGGCGTTCTGTATGAACTGTTGGACTGAGCGCTGTGTGTGTCTGTCACAGCGTCAGGGTCTTCTTGGATCTCTTTGTAGACGCTAACCTTTTAGAACACTTTTGCTGTTGTGTTTAGTTTCGGGAACTCCATTCAGCCTCATCTGTCTCTCTGAATTATTGGAACATGTGAAGAACGGCTGAGAGCGTTTTGGTGTTTCGGTAAGCGCAGGCCGGAGGGACGGCTAACGGGGCTTAGGCTGCGTAATGGAAAGGCTTACAGTGTGAGGAGAGGTGAACAGTGGGGCAGCCAAAAGAGAGCGAAAGCGGCTGGACGGTGAACAAAGAGCAAAGGAGAGCGGCATCAAAATAGCAGACGGAGAACGATCTGAATTCATCTGTTTCAGCTCAGCTATTTTTGGTTGTGTCAAATGAAACCAGCATTACATGCTGCTTAGGGCCTGTAGGGTGTTAGTGTTAGTGTGTGTGTGTGTGTGTGTGTCTGTGCAGGTTTCGTAGCAGGGCTGTAAATCTCTGACCTTATGACTGAGTTCTCTTACAGTTCTTTATGAATATGATCTCAAAGTTCACTGGAATTTGAAGTGATTTATTTTGCTTTTATTTTGTTAAACATACAAAATACATAAATGTGACTGGAGGATTTGTTTACACAGTAGTGAAATATTGCCATTAAATCGATCTCTCAAGCTTTTTATGTGATGATTATTATTATTATTATTATTATTATTATTTTGCGTAGTTTTCTGTAGGGCTGGACGATTAATCACTTTTTTTTCAGTCATAATTTTGGCTTCCAACGATTATGAAAACAAGATAATGGTGATAAAATGATTATTGTGCCACGTTCCATTTTACAGTGATGCTCTTGTTTTGTCTTGTGTTATAGATCCTGCGTACCCCTTTTTCTTTGCAGTGCACTTTCGCCCCTCCCTAGAAGCCAAAACTCATCTAATTATTTTTTATTTTTTATGTAGTAATTTTTTCTATGTTTAGTAGTTTTCAGTTGTGGAAGTGCACTACAACATAGCTAATCTTATTTATTCCGAGTTAAATAAATGCATGATGTTTCCAAAGTTAATGAGCGATCATGTTAAATAACAGTGATCTTAATATTATACAAAATAATCGTGATTATGATTTTTGCCATAATCGAGCAGACCTTGTTTTCACCCAGGTTAGTTGTTTCCAGTTCCCATCCACTAGCTCAGTCTTCACGAAAGCTACTGGGAGGGAGGGTGAGGGCTGACTTACACTTGTTCCAGGATGTAGAGTCTAAAGTCAGGGATCACTCTGTAGTTGGCGTCATGCGTATATTAGGAACTCCGGGTCTAAGCAGGTTTTCTCTGTGGGAGATAATAATGATGCACTTTGTCTGTGTACATTTTCCTCCTGAATTTCACCGAATCATCAGAAATACAAGATGGCATGAAGTAAGTCTACTGTTAACTTCAGCACTATTAAATAGATTATTCTACTGAATTAGTTCAAACTGCCGTCTCACAGTAAATAAAACTGGACACCTCCCAGTAGAAAGTACTCTATAAATTGTGATTTTATTAGTTTTATTTACTGAGATTCCACAGCAAATAAAACTATATAAAGAAAAATCAGTTAAGTGTTCAAAACTTGGTATTTACATAGATTATGATGTATTTATATTCTGTCTGTTGGGAGGTGTCCGTCCTAAACCTTAATCCTAAATTTACACTTTCGAAAATAATACTTGGGCTGTTTGCATTTTTTTTTTTGCAAAAAGTGAAGTTGTAAGATTTAGTTTGATTTTTTTAAAGCTTTATTTAAAAAGTTTTCAAGTCACTACTGAAACAGTTTTAGTCTGTAGGTGGAGCCTTATTAAAGTCACACCCTTGCATTTTAGAGCAGGAAGTGAGGCTGCATCCCTGTCCGTCATGGCCACATGGTGAGCAGTCAGATCCCATTGTTTTGGAGTAAATGTGAAAGTCTGACAATCAGTGTGGAACCTTAATAATTGTCACTACCGAAACACTATACTTTCTTTTGTGTTTTAATAAAAATTTATGATTTAATGTGTATAACTTTATGTAAAATTATGATTTAATGTGTATAACTGTTCAAAGCTGTGTTTGCTGGTCATGTACTGGCTAGCATTTTTGAGTCCTGCTCAAAATGAGTTAAAATAGTCACTACCGAAACAGTCACTGCTGAAACATTTGGTAGCATTCCAGTAGTGTTATCATTGTTTTCATAGTGTCAAAATGAAATGGAAGATAAATGTAATTAAGATACAGAGCCACTCAAACCAAAAGGTCTTTGGTCAAAAGTCCAAGTGAGTTAACCTCTTAAATCCCAGGTTTATTACATACTAAGCTCATTATTCAGTAACTACAGGGACTTCAGTGTAAACAGGCTGAGGTATTCGTAGGTTATAGAAGTGTGTAATAACCTTTGGGCTCGTCGGTGGGTCCTGACCATTTAAGGGGTTAAAAGTCCACTCTGACTTTAAACCAATTTGTTAGAATGATCTATATCCAACACCAGCTGCCGAACACCGCCAGAGCCTCTAAACTACCACGTTCAACAACGCTTGCTGGTTTGTGTGGAATGTTTTGCTGAGGTCAGTGTGCAGCAGTGTTAGCTTGATTCCTTAACAGCCTCGTAATTCAGAGGATCCAGAGACGTTGAGGGGAAACATGTCTGTAGGGCAAACCGAAGCAAACCCAGCTCTGCTCCTCTCTTCTAAACAAAAGTACATGTTTCACGTAAACACTCTCTCCCTGAATTGACCAACAGCCCATTGACTTCCATTTGAAATGTTTCGGGATCCTCAGGTTTGTTTTCTGCATACAGGAAAGCATGAAGACGTTACCGTCTGTGTGATCAGCCGTGCGCTACAGATACAGCAGGTAGAGGTCAGGCAGAAAACCGTTGAGTGTTCCTCTCAGGTGTGAGCGGAGAGACGTTGGGAGATATGGAGATGAAAGCTGGACTGGAAAAGAGAGCGAGAGTAGTCAGGGATCCCTCCCTGCACTGGCAGCTCCTCAAAGCGCTGGCCGCTATCCCACAGTGCTTTGCACGTGGGCCTCTCGGTGAGCTTGTGTCTGAACAATCACACGGGCCGGTGTGTTGTTAACCTCATCAAAGGAATCCGCGGAGTGGACGCGCTCCACTTGCTGCCCTGCTCAGCCGGAACGAGAAAGCCCAGCTCGTCGTGCAGGGAAGTGGCTGCGGGTGGAAGAGGAACAGCTGGAAATGAGCTTTTCCACTGCGGCACAGTGAAGAGCCAAATGAGTGCTTTGACCTCATGGTCAGCGTTTAGGCAGATTCACTGGGCCGCAGTGGCTCTAGTGGTTCTTTTATATAGAAGACTGAGGAGACCACTGTCGTTTTTGCTTGACGTGCATCATTATTTACACGGCGAGGGGAAACAAGTGTTCCGACACTTTAGTTTTTGTTGTTTAACAGACGTCCAGTGCATATGTTCACTTCAGCTTTACACACATTATGTCTTTTGGCAAAATACATACACCGATCAGGCATAACATTCTGACCACCTCCTCGTTTCTTGTCCATTTTATCAGCTCCACTTACTATATAGGAGCACTTTGTAGTTCTACAGTTACAGACTGTAGTCCATCTGTTTCTCTGCATACTTTGTTAGCCCCCTTTTACCCTGTTCTTCAGTGGTCAGGACCCCATGGACCCTCACAGAGCAGGTACTATTTGGGTGGAGGATCATTCTCAGCACTGCAGTGGCACTGACGTGGTGGTGGTGTGTTAGTGTGTGTTGCGCTGGTCTGAGTAGATCAGACACAGCAGTGCTGCTGGAGTTTTTAAACACTGTGTCCACTCACTGTCCACTCTATTAGACACTCCTACCTTGTCAGTCCACCTTGTAGATGTAAAGTCAGAGCCGATAGCTCATCTGCTGCTGCACAGTTTGTGTTGGTCATCCTCTAGTCCTTCATCAGTGGTCACAGGACGCTGCCCACAGGACGCTGTTGGCTGGATATTTTTGGTTGGTGGACTATTCTCAGTCCAGCAGCGACACTGAGGTGTTTAAAAACTCCAGCAGCACTGCTGTGTCTGATCCACTCAGACCAGCACAACACACACTAACACACCACCACCACGTCAGTGTTACTGCAATGCTGAGAATGATCCACCACCCAAATAGTACATCGGTATATATATATATATATATACAGTATCTTCTTACTATACTATAATCAGTCATGCTGTAACGCTGCTGTAATGCGACTGGGGCAGCAGTGACGCCATAACAACTTCAGGTTCTGGTTCTTGTGGCGGGAAACTAAGTTCCTGAGGGTAGATGACTTAACATCCCCTCAGCTGAATGCTGCTGTTGTGACCATGAACACAGCACTCATGAAACCTAAGCAGCTCCTTGATTATCTTAATGTGAGAGAGCTTTATAGCCCAGCAATACTCTTCATACATGTAAATCGATTTGGGAAAGAGTGTTATGTTCGCTTGAAGGAGTGGATCAATCGAGAAGGCTAATGTTGCTAACAGTGAATGAAAACGAATAGCCGTCAAACTTGGCTTCCTCCAAACACCACAGTGCTAACTGACCTTTAGTAACTTTCGTCCTTTGAAAGCCACCTTAGCACCTTTAGTCAAGCTCTTCCTTTAACTGTACAGCAAATCACTGCTGTCGGAACAAAACCTCGCATCTCCATTTTTGTTTTTCAGTTTTTGACATTATTTGAAAATACCTATTGCCTTTTACATTGTATGTAAATTTCACAAAAAACGAACCTAAAGAAATGTTCAAACTATACATGGGGAAAAGATTCTGGTTCCATTGACTTACATTAAAGATAAAGCATGTTTTTTTTTCCTTCTCCTGTAAAGTTACATTGGTTGATACAAGGTTTTGTTCCGGGAGCAGTGAAATGTGTGATATTCATGTCATTAAAATGTGTATTGACCAGCTGTTTTTCTCTCTTTGACCCCACAGCCTGCCTGTTCCGCTACAACGCCCTCTCTTTAGTCTACCTTCTCTACCTGCTGCTGTTGCCATGGTTTCTCTGGCCCAACAAACATACGCTGCGAGGTGAGTGAGCACCTTAATGAATCCTTTCATTCTCCTCCCTCTTTTAGTCACTTTAATCTAAAGTAATGGTTATTTACACCAGGAAATAAATGATGTATTTGCCCACAGGCATCTGTAACCACAGGTGGGTAGAGTAGCCTAAACCTATACTCAAGAAAAAGTAATTAAAAGTGGATATACTTTTCCAAAGTGCAGAAGTCCGTCAGCAGGATGTCCTCTCGGCTTTTTTTACTGATTGTGGTCTAAAATGTGGGATTTTGCAGCCTTATTTATTTATTTATTTATTTATTTTTATTAAGTGGGGGGTGGTTGGGGTAGATTTGGCTGTGCAATAACAAAGTAGTGATAATTATGAGCCTGACATATTCTTCAGCTTCTTTGAATGTATCTTGGTTAGTTTCTGATAAAAACAAGTGAGAAACATTGAGATAAAAAAATGTTTTAACACTGTTTTAAAGAGTTTTCAATATTTTATATTGAAATTATGTAATAAAACTGCTTTTATTCAAAATAACCATCATATTTCTACGGTCAAATATTCCAGAAAGATGAGCAAAAGTGCTGTTTACTTTGTTTTCCTTTCTTTATTCCATTTTCTTGCTCTAGTTTTAGTTGTTTTCTATCTGTTCTAGTTACTTATTCATGTTAAATTGCAAAATACACCAATGACTGATCACGTGGCAGATGTCTGCCTCAGCGAGTCCTGTAGTAGTGTGTTACAGTAAAGTGCCTCTTGTCTCTAGTAAGGGCCAAACAGCTCCTCGTATGGTTTACCACAGAGTGTCTGTTGTCCTCATTAAAGACACAAACAGACACTTGTATACCTCACAACAGAATCTATGCCGTCGTGGCGTAATCCTTAACAGATGAACCAATAGCTGTAGGGTAAATACTCAGTGTAGAGTCCTGCTTGAGAGGTCTGTCGGTCAGACTGGGTTGCTGAGATGGACAGAAGATCGTCATTTCTGCAAATGCTGTTCTCCTGAGCTCTCTTCATCTCAAAGAAAGAGATTTGCAGTGGTGCTGTCAAATCTAGGCCTGGGTGATATCTAACAGTAATTGACGTCGTATTTCATTATTGTTAAAAATCATAGTTATAAGGGAAAATCATTATAAGGGGAAGTTCATGAACAAATTCTAAGTTGACTTGACAGAACCAGCTAGTAATGTTTTAACAGTTGGAGCAGTTGCTGAACACTATTGATTTGTTTTTGATAATGTTGAATTTGCTTTTGCATTGCTGTGGTATTCCAGTGTGTATTCAGGGTGTTGCTTTGTAGCTGGCGACCTATTCAGTATAGGCTCTACAATTCTGTAAAGTTTTGTGGTTCTAGCTTGAAAGCTGTGGGAGTAGCATTGCAATTTTTTACTGTATAATAATATAATAATAATAATAATATGATATTATTATTATTATTATTATTATTATTATTATATTAAGAAGAAGAAGAAGAAGAAGAAGAGAACAAAAAGCAGTAACTTTGCTTTTTTAAGCCAACAAAAATGGTCTCCCTGTCTCCCCCGCCCCAGCCCACCGCAGAACTGCTTATGTGCATGCTGTACTAAAGTCCACTGTGCGATTTTAGCCCATTTTTAAGCCTGATTTGACTGAATTTCACGATCGGGCCGATTTCAGCTTCATCGGCCGTTTGCCGTGCAGTGTGAGAGGGGAAACGATGCCCGTTTAACTGCCCAAACTAAGTCCGATTGAGCCGTTGGACGATCAGATGGATTTCTACCTGTTAGAAATTTTGGTCGCTTGTCTCACAGTCTGAGCAGCCCCACGAACGAATTTCTCAACGTCGCACCCAAAACCACACACAAACACAGCCAGCGCTCCTGCACTGACGCAAAACAGTCCACATTTGCAGCACCAGCGTCCGTATATGGCGAATTCGCGCCGTTTGCCTGAGTTGAATTGCGAGGTATAAATAAATATGGTGATTTTTTTGTCTGTAGACCGCCTGCTCTTCAGCTTCAGTGCGCAGTGCGGCACCACTTAGCAAAGCTGTTGTAGCGGTTTGTCAGTGGCTGAATCTCAAACGGCCCCTGCTTCCTATGTAGTGCACTAATTTCTGGCTTCTTCACCAAAATAGTTCACTGTTTGTCCAGTATGGAACTGTGCACACATGGCTGAATCTCAGAAGGCTGTTTATTAGACATGTGATGCACTTTTTCTGGTGCAGGAGCAACAATTTTAGTATGCGGTGCACTGTGTAGGGAGCCATTTGAGATTCAGCCAGTGTTTTGATCAGGACTTGGTGTTGTTTTGAATGAAACAACTTTACTGTAGACAGAGCGTCTGTAGGGACTTAGTTTCACGTGCAGTGTGTCGTGTCGTGTCATGTCAGTCAGACCGAGTGTTTTCATACAGTGTGAGGCTTTGGCCGAACAAGAGGGGTGATTCAAACGTACAGTGTGAGTCACCAAAGAACACGATTTCTAAAATCACACCGTATATGCCTGGCTTAAAGATGTATCCTTCCAGTAATTATCAGTAACACTTTCTGATGCATAAATAATGCAGTGATTGAACAAATATTGTGAGTGTTGGTTGAATTCACACTTTTAAAGTGCTGAGTAACTTATAGAACTGCGGTGGAGCTTCGTAGTACATCCAGCATCTCTCAGCATAGGAAGTGACTTGGATCCTGTTGGTCTAAAGTAAAATGCTGAAGCTCCTAAATAGCAGAGCAGCTCCTGTGCTGTACTAACAATGTGTGGAGGAGACTCTTCTCTGATGAACTCGTGATAGTGATCTGCTGTTTGTGCTGTCAAGTTTTAAACCTGCTGTAAATTTGTTTCGATTAGAAAAGAAAGGGAGAGACAACAGCTGGTAATCTGGCCTAAGGCAGTCTAGTATTGGAGCTGAGTCGATGGCAGGGTGGGTTTTGTATGGAGCGTTCTTATCGTCTGATAATTTAAAGTGTCTCCTGACTTCCCTTTAAACTATAGCAGTCACGTGGAGTGTAAGGTTTGGTGACGTGGATGCCTGGCGTGAATCTATTTTTTATGATACATTCAAGTAAAAAGCAAAGATTTATTAAGCAGGGTTTTTTTTTTATATGTATATTTTATCATTTTTATTTATTAACAGTAGCTACATTTCCATCCAAAGGATTTTTATGAATTTTTGCATATAGACTATGAAAACAGAAGTTGTCAGTAATTCATTTTATGAATACAAAAATGAAAGTTTCTGTGAAAACTTTTTTCCCCTCAGCTTGGGTGAAAAAAACTGTTCCAGCCCTGAAATGTTGTGAAAGCCTTTGTATATTTATTTATTTATTTATTTATTTAAAACATAAATTCATTGTTGGGCAAATGTCTGTCAGTAATAAAATTTAAAGCCTAAACCAAATTTCCTTAATCAGTGAGCTTTGAGGGAAGTCAGGGCTACACAAGTTGTGACATACAGAAAATTAAGCATGAAAATACAGCTTTTTTATTGATGAATCAAAAGTTGTGTTGTCAGCTTCGTGTCAGCTGTTCACAGGAAATAACATCACTACATAAGGCACTTTTATCAGCACTTCTAAGCTGGTGGACGACAAAAATCGCTACATTTATTTTATGTAGATTCATTTTGACGCTTGCAGTCTGTGTGGAAAGTCCATGGAAACTAAGCTAGTAACTGTTATATAGGGAGATTCACTTGAAAGAGGCCCCAAATATTCTGCTGTAACTCCCAGTTAGGATGAAGCAATCAGAACCAGAAAAATACACAACATACCTTGACGTATGTGTAATCGTTTGCATTACATGCGATGCTGGAAATGATCTCCATTTTCTGCCAGACACATAAAGGGGTACGGGGGATATGCACCCAGAGGTTGCAAACCGAGGTTAAATGTTGCGACCTCATCGCTCCGACACAGGGGCATCCCACTTGTTGTCGAAGCTCCATATACTGAGGAGCACATTGCAACTTGTTTCGTTCAGATTGCTTCATCCTGGCGAGAGTTATTACAGAATATTCGGGGCCTCTTTCTAGTGAATCTCCCTGTATTTAAAGGCCTTAGTAGATGAAATGTGTTATTGTTCATAGTCTATAGGTTTTTATGTGGCTTAAAAAAAGACAAAGCTTCTGGATACTAAATAGAGGAGCATATACCAACGTAACAAATAAATACTCTATTATTCAGATCCAAATTTGGGCCAACCCTACGCAAAAGTGCTATTCCATGTTGTGAATAACTTGTATGCCATGTTAGCATTTTTGTCCAGACTATCCTTTTAAACAGCTATGCTTTATTCTTGCCGTTCCTCGTATCGTATGGTTGGGAATTGAGTCGGTTTGTACTTATGAATGGCACATAGTCACTTTGCCAAGCCGCAGCTTGGTACCCAGAGATTGCGCGAACAGGAAAGTCCACTGCAGTCCAACTGAGCATTAGCCTCCTTAAAGTGGATAAAGTCCACTGCTCTGAGTTACAGAACCAAAACAAGCTCCCTTTGATTCCTAAGTCGCGGTTTTCATATCCACTTTGATCGTTAGGGCACCTGGGGGGGAAGCGGCTTGTACGGATGAGGACTGATGTTTGCTTACAGATTATATTAATATCTGTGGTTTTAGACGTCTTGCTCATTTCCCCGTAAAGGCTGGAGCTCAGTGCCTCTGGACCAGCCGCTGGCAGGATGGGTTTTTCTGAGAAGCGTTGATGACAGGAAGGTTTCGCTACCTCTTTGTGGTACGCTGGGCTGGTACCCAGGCCTGTCTTTCACACCAGCAGCAGGTGATAACCAGAGCTACAGATACTTCCTATTTTAAGTGGTACAACTGCTGCGTGTGATATGAGCGAGTGTGCGGGCAGTTTAAACTTCATGGCAGGTCTACAAAGGACGGGTCTAAGCCGCCTGCTGAAAAGAGGGTGACGGATTATGTTTATGTACAAGCATCAAGGACTCTTTGAATCAAAGAGTCGGTCATACCATATGCAACGGATCCTTGTCCCCCATTTTTTTTTATATTTTTTCAAACAAAGTCATAATTGGTGCTC